GATGATTGTAGACCTATAAGTTCAGTAGGAGGGGTATATAAAATCATATCTAAGTGTCTTTCGAGGAGGTTAAGAAGTTGCATCAGAGTCATCATTAGTCTGACACATTTTGCCTTCATCCCAGGTCGTAAAATATTGGATTGTTCCCTTATTGCTAATGAGGGAATCGATTTTTGGAGGAAAAAAAGGTTCAAAGATTGCATCTTTAAAGTTAACTTCAAGAAGTCATATGATACTATTGATTGGCCTATTTTGTTCAAGGTAATGGAAAAGATGAGTTTTGGCCCCAGATGGATTGGATGGATAAGGAAATGTGTATCTACAGCCTCTATTTTAATTTTGGTCAATGGGGTTCCTTATGAGGAATTCCCAATGGCAAAGGGTCTTCGTCAGGGTTGTTCTCTGTCTCCATTATTCTTCAATCTAGTAGGGGAACTACTTAATTTACTACTTGTTGAAAACATTTTTGATGTTTCGATGTAACAAATTAAGTGTTGATTAATTTTTAAGATTTTATAATCATTTTTAAAGTATATTCGATTAAATTATTCGAATATCACAAATATTACTCAAAGTTTTTCAAATGTCAATTTTAATCCTTACTAAAGTGTAAAAATTTAAAATATTTTTGAAACAATTTTTATAAAGTATTTCAAACCTTAATCGAGCCAAAAATAATTTTTAGGAAAGGATGTACCGATACACTCCTTAGTGTATCGATGCACACCCAACATCGAACCTATTTTGTGTACCGATGCACAGCCATACATCGATGCACTCCTGACTCTATTGAAACATCGAATATAATTAGTGTACTGATGCACCCTTGAGAGTGTACCGATACACTCACGCTCCCACTAGATTTTTAAATGATAATTACACCATAATGGCTCTATTGACTTCATCAATGATTCCCAACGTTCAGAATCAATTCAAGGTGTATTTAAACAAGCTTAGGAGTCATTGATCAACAACAATTAAGAAGAGAAGCTAGAGAATCAAAGAGAAAGCATCAAACCTCAAGTTTGAGCATTTTCAAGTCTATTTTCATTCAATATTCATTTTGCTTTTAAGAACACATGTTGTACTCAATTGTATTCATCTTTGAGTGTTCTTTCTTTGTTATAGAATTGTGCAAACATTTTGTCTTGTGAGGTTTTTCTGTAAGTTTGCGAAATTTGTATTCTTCTCTTTAGGAGAGAATGTTCTCAAGAATTTGGGGTATAATTTTTTAGGGATTTGTAAGGTTACTCTTTGTCCTAAAAAGAAAGGCAAATTAGTGAATTTGTGGAAAATCCTTAGTGTGGATAGCTAAGGTAGTGGACGTAGACTTTGGTTGAGAAAGTTGAACCACTCTAAATCGATGTACAAATCTTTTCTATTTTCTGCAAAAGCTTTCACCAAAATTTTTAATTGCCAATTCACCCCTCTTGGTTATTTCGTCGATCGATTAACTCAACACTACTCCTAAAGGCAGTCTCCGAGGGGTTTTTTTTCTGGAATGACTATAGGTAGGGAGGAGGGGTTTTTCAATTTAATCTATTTGCAATTTGCTGATGACTTTATAATATTTTATGGAGCTTCGAAGATGCAGATTTTGAATGTGAAGAGGGTTCTTAGAGTGTTTGAAGTTATGTCTGGTCTTCAGCTAAATCTAAAGAAATGCAAACTATTTGGTATTAACTCCAGTCAAGAAGAAGATCAGGAATGGGCAAAGTCTATTAGTTGTTCAATTGGGTGCTTTCCTTCAGAATATCTTGGACTACCCCTTGGTGCTATTAGGAATTCATCAATTCTTTGGGACCCAGTGGTTCAAAATTTTTACAAGAAACTTGCGGGTTGGAAGGCTTCTACTCTTTCATTAGCAGGGAGATTGGTATTGGTTAAGTCGGTCTTATGCTCGCTTCCTAATTATTTCTTGTCGATGTTTAAGATTCCAGTCTCGGTTTACAAAATCCTCAATTCAATCATGTCTAAGTTCTTATGGGGAGGGGGCAATGGGAAAACAAGATACATTGGGTTAATTGGTCTACTGTGTGTAAACCTAAGAATGAGGGAGGTATGGGAGTACTCAATATAAATATAATGAATAGAGCTCTATTAGGGAAATGGTCATGGAGGTTTGCTAACGACAGGAATTCTGTTTGGAGGAGAATGATTTGCAGCAAATACAATATTGATTCAACTATATTATTGTTCGACAGTAAGGTTCCAACTCAAGCTTCTTGGATTTGGAGATCAGTGGTGAATAACCATTTCGAAGATGACCCTTTTGGTTCTAAGTTTCGAAGTTTATGTAGCTTTCAAGCTGGTGATGGAAAGTTTATTCGGTTCTGGCAAGATATTTGAGCTATGGATTATCCGCTCTTGGTCATTTTCCTAGACTATTTTCTATTACTTCAAACAAGATTGGCAAATTATGTGAGTTTGGGGAACATCGATCTATGGGCTGGATTTGGAATGTTTAATTCAGAAGAAATTTTAATGATTGGGAATTTGATCAATGGTCAAATTTGATGGTTATCATTTCAAATTTCTCACTTTCCAGAGATTCCAATGATGGTTTGATATGGAAAGGCAATGGGGATGGTGTGTATTATGTTAGCTCTTGTGTCATGTTGTGTTCTTCAGGATTGGAAGAGGTTCATTTTTGGAAAAATATAATTTGGAGGGGTATGCTTCCTCCAAAAGTGGAATCCTTTATGTGGCAAGTTGTTCTTCAGAAACTGGCATGTAAGACTGAACTGGTTAAAAGAGGAGTTCAGGGTATTGATGATGTTTTATGTCCTCTTTGCAAGTTGGTGGAGGAGTCTTCCTCACATTTATTTTTTTCATGTTCTGTTGCGTGGTCTTTATGGAACAAATTCTTGAAGTTGTGGAGGCTCAATTCTGTTTTTCATACTAATGCCAAGATTTTTCTCCAAGCCTGGGAAGATTTGAAGAATAATTCTACTATATGGTCATTTGTTACGGGGGTTGTTCTATGGACCATTTGGAAAGTCATGAATTCGATTGTGTTCGAAGAGGGAAGTTAGACCAGACTGAATTATTTTTCTTAGCAAGGTTTAGGCTTGCTTCCTGGTTTTTAGCCAAGTATAAGGATATCTCTATTCCTAAGGATTCTCTTATCTCTGATCCTTCTCTAGTGGATTCTTGCTCTTCCTCCAATAAAGTTGTTGTAACTAAGATCCCTTGGTCTCCTCTCCCTAGGGGCTTCATTAAATTGAATATTGATGCTGCTACTACTTCCGACTGGAAGAGAAGAGGATTAGGTGGAGTTTTAAGAGATTATTCTGGTTTGATTGTAGGTTCTTTCAAGGAGTCTTCTGGTCCGGGCCTTCCAACCTTGATGGAGCTTAAAGCTATTCAAAAGGGATTATCTTTCTTTGTTTCTTTTCGAGGGATTGTTAAGGATCGTTTGATAATAGAGAGTGATAGTAGAGTGACAGTGGACTGGATTAAGAACGTTGAATTATGCCCAGATGTGTATGTTTTTATTGTTAAAGACATAGTTGATAGGCTTAAACTTTTTTAGGGAATTGTTAGATGGGTTGCTAGGACGGCTAACTTAGAAGCTGATGCCTTAGCTAAAGCAGGAATAGGTTGAATTCATTGTTGTTGTTTAGGGTTGTTTTATGGTTTTTTGTTTCTGTAAGGGGTGTTTTTTGTTTGTTGTATTTCTTATGTAACTTTCTTGTCATGAATAAAATCTTAAGGCACTCTTTTCCTCCTTCCGCTGATTAAGGAGCTTCCCTACGAGCTCCATTAATCAATAAGGGGGTTTTTAACGAGGCTTGCAATTCTTATAAAAAAAAAGGGCCCCTTGATACCAAGGCAGATGATTGTGTAGGACTATGACCAGAATTGGTCATAGGTTTTTGTTCCTTGAAATCTCCCATCATTACTCGGCGACGATTTTCTTCTCTTCGAACCTCTGTAAATGCTTCTCCAATGGTTGGAAGAGGGGTCCTACCCAGAATAAGGCTATGAAATTCGTCCAAGTCTTGGTTCAGCCCTGCTAGGAACTCATAGAGTCGTTCTTTATTGAGATGTGACATGAACTTGGTGTGCTCCAAGCCTTAACCCCAGTCCACTTCATAGTACATATCGAGTTCCTGCCATAAGACTTTTAAGTTGTTGTAGTACTGTGTAACTTCAAGAGTTCCTTGCTGAATGTCTTTTAATTTTAGCTTGATTTCAAAAACTTGAGAAGCATTTCCTAGATCAGAATAGTTCTCTTTTACTGCATCCCACATTTCTTTTGTAGTCTTGAATAAGAGGTAGGTTCGACTTATGTGACTCCCCATGAAGTTGATCAGCCATGTCATGACAATAGAATTATTGAGTTCCCACGTAGCATACGTAGGATCACTAAGGGGAGGACGTGGAATTTCTCCACTGATATATCCTAGTTTCCCACGACCTCGAATCACCATAAGTATCGATTAGGACCACTCTAAAAAATTCTTCACATCTAATCGGTGATTAGTCATTGTGAGGGACGAATTAACATCACTATGAGATAGTGCTTGATTGACATTCTGAGAAAACTAAAAAAGTATAATGGATCAGAAATATCCCTAAAGTGCTGATGCCATGAACAGATTTGAGAAAGTAATAATTTTGTATTTCTCTAACAACATATTACAACTTTAAAGGAAGAATTAGTACAAAAATAGGAAAATATCCCTAAAAATTAGGAACTACAATTAGATACATATTTACTCTAGGTTAACTCCTAAAAATAAGGAAGAAGATTCAATCTCTTAATTCTAGGATTTCCAATAGCTTAGACTGCAGAAGAAGTTTTTTGTCAACATGTTTAATGGCATCACATGGATTAAGTTGCTTCTTTGTTGAGAAATTGATATATGGTTGTCTTTTAATAATTATTTAGTATTTCTCTTTGCAAAATATTATCTTATATTGATCATAAATGCTAAATTGTTATTGTGACAATACCTTATTCATCAAGTCTTTATTTTTATAGATTTTAAAGTTCCCTTCTGTTGTAACCGGTCTTGTGACAAAATTAACTGATGATCAGAAGTATGGAATGATTGAAGCAATTTCTCATCTTATTCACCGTGACTATGCAGAAATAGTTAAAGATTTTGTTAAACTTGATTTTATTCCTGAGGGGGATAATTTAGAACCAATCTTGCCCGTTCTGGCAAAGGTTTTTGATCAAGCACATGAGGGCGGGGGGTGCGAAAAACATTAACTTTCAGGACCTGGCAGCTGATTTGGCGCAAATAACATTTGATTATCCTTTTAGGATACCTCCTTATTTCGCTCTTATAATTAGGGCAATAGGGGTGTTGGAAGGAATAGCTTTAGTGGGGAATCCTGATTTCGCTATTGTGGATGAGGCCTATCCCTATCTTGCACAGGTACAAATATTCTGTTTTTGCTAATTGTTTTTTGAAAATAAATTGATTTATATGAGTAATTATGTTTGTGAAATCTACAATCATTATTATTTTGAATTTCTGATGACTAAATAGTTGATTGTTTGCTTCATTAGTTTTATTTAATTATTCGCTGATAGCTTGAAGGTTGTAATAGAATGCATGTGGCTAACCAATCGCCAATATATTTCGATGGGATCAAGATGAAACAGTGCAACATTTGTATTGTGCTTCGTCTTAATAAATTGGTCCATCTTTTCCTGATTATAATATAATGGTTATCAATTCCTTTTATTGTTTTATATGATCAGAGACTGCTCACCGATGAATCCCCGCGACTGAGGAATGCTTTGCGTTACACAATATACGGGAAATCCAGTGTTTTTGATGCTGAAAGTTTCATTGATGTCATGCAAGCCTTTGAGAATTTCATAACTGCAGCAAAAAGTGGAGGTGGTGAAAATATGAATGGAGATATGGCCGAACTGGGTCTTCTACAAAATAATGCAGTTATTACCTTCCCTAGATTTCTACCAAGTGGATCTCAATCAAAGAATCCTCCTCAAACCAGAGCAGCCTTAGCATTTCTTCTGTCCGAGAAGGGGAACTTTTTCCGGGAATTTCTTCTGGATGAGGTAATTTGTAGGCTAAAAAGCAGTGTCTCTATTCCCTATTAAGGCCATGGCCGTAATCTTGTCTCTTGAATGCTATATCTCTTTTCATCTTGAGAGCCCTTATTATTGGTTCATTGTCTATTCCCTTGTTAACAACAAGTGTACCTATTTTTTCGAATAGTAAAATCATTTCAAAATAGATACAACTTTTCAAGCAACTTCTTAATATTCACTGAAAGAATTTAACAAAGTTTCTTGTGTGCATAATCATTTAGTCCTAGATAGTCATAGTTGCACAATTTGTGTTCTTTAAATTCTTGTTTCTCTTTTGGTGTTCGGTTATATGTATATATATGGGTTAGGATCTACTTATTACGAGTTTCATTTTTAGGATTATTGGATGAATGAAAATAGACGGTTGAGATTATCTTTTTTTTTTCAATTGAATATCTTGCCCCCCACCCCATATATGTGTTCTTTAAATTATTGTTTCTCTTTTGGTGTTCTATCATATATATATATATGAGTTAGGATCTACTTACAACAAGATTTTTTTTTAGGATAATTGGATGTCTGAAAATAGACGGTTGAGATTATCTCTTTTTTTTTCTTGTTTTTTCTGTGAATATCTTGTTCCCCATATGTGTTAAAGGTTTTACACGTTTTTTTGAATCATTGGACTAACCGAGTTTAATGGCTGAGATTAAAACTTGTTTTCCCGTAAAATTCTTCTACCTATCTACATACATACATTGACATTTCAGCGTAGGGTTGCTCAAATATCAAACTGATGTTTCTGGGTTTGCTGTACAGATTGTGAAGGTCATTGACGCACTTACTAGGGAACAGTTAGTACAACTACTGTCAGTGTTGGGAGTAAGAAATGCTGCGCCAGTGTTTAGCTTGGTTCCGACAGTCGGACCCTTCAAGCCGGCAGGACTTTTGCCTTCAATTACCGAGGAAGATAGAATCATATTAAGCAATGTCCAAAAGATTCTTGAGTTCTTAACAGCAGGAAGTTCAATATCAAGGACGTCAACTCAGGTACACCGGAGTTTGCGCCTTTAACAAATCAAAACCATTTGCAAAAGAATCTGTATTATACATTCTTAATGTCTGATTAATTGCTTCTCATTTTGTTAAAACATCAACAGGGTGTAAATGTTGCTAACGCTATCCGGGAACTGCTTCCGGTGCTGCCGGGCATGTCCGTCAGGGTTCTTCTTGATGTTATTAGCCGGTTATCGTCTCGGGTATTAGCACGCTTAATCCGGGATACAGTTTTGTAAGCATTTTCAACATAACCTCAACTACTTTCTTCAATTGTGTATATGTTTGTATAGCGATGTTTGATGTATTGATATTATATAAAAAAAATGCAATATAATTTACATAGTTAATTTTAGTGTTGTAAACTTTATTATTTAAATAGTCGTAGTTTTGTAAACTTAATTATTTTTTTTTAAATTCGAGTTTTGAGTTAAAAATTCGTAATTGAATGTAAAAATAAATGGCATCAATCTCAGGCATGAGATGATGCTCTTCCTAAGTGGTGAAAAACGGTGGGTCATTATGAAATTGTCACCTCGTAAAGAGGTGAGGGAGATTAATCTTATTTCAGAAAAGAAAAAGGATCCTAAAATTTATAAACGATAACGCTGCACATCAACATGCCTTTTGAAAACCATCCAGCACGGTCAGGGATGCATGTCCAAAACCCAAATTAACTGTGCAGTCAAAAGATGTACAGTGTGAGGCGCATCAGCAATTAGAACAGCACGCGCGCTTCGATACATAGTCGTTAGCATGCCTTATAGATAAAGGGAAAGCCATTCTTTCAGAGACATCATCTGCATAAGAGCAAATATAACAGCCAGCACGTGCATCTTATCAAAGTAGGCGTGTCGATGCTGCTCGACAAATCGCCAAGCACCGATGTCGGTGCTTTCTCCCCAAAGCCAGATTGCTATAGACAATCACGACATTCAAGTGTTTTGTTAATAGTGTACTAGCTGCAAATTAACAGTGTAAAAACAAAATCTCAAAATTTTATCATCATCAACATGAACGTGCTCAGAAATAATAAGTTCTACTTGTATATACATGTCTGTCTGTTGTTTGTGAGTACTAAAATATGATGCGGATATGTGTGCAAGTATACACAATCGAACAAGTAATAAAGTGATAAGTAGAGTATCGTCTCCACAGGGAATTGGGGAAATCAAATAGGTTTGTCAAGGCACTTTACTTTGTCACCTAAGTAAAGTTAGTTATGGTATATACAGATGAGAATGCAATGGCAAAATGGAATGGACGTAGTGGAAATGGAGTGGTGATAGTGTGGTAGCAGATGGATATGTCGTGGCAAATTAAATTGTGATACGTGAAAACAAATGGAAATGTCAAGGCAAAATAAAAATGCAAATACTAGATTTAATATATGTAGGACTTTAGCTTTCTCACAAGACAAGCAGCAATGGAAATGAGTGATGGGAGACACAAGGAAAACTTAAGTTTATTTCTCTGAATGGTGCTTCTTCTATGCTTACCCTGCCCGACAGAGTCTACTGATGTGCCCTATGCTATCTCTAGTAAGGGACTCGACAGACTAAAGATGCCCTGGCAAAACCGATTGGCGTAAGCCCAAGCAGTGATCCTATTGACTCAGCTAATAGAATATGTCTCGGCAATACCTTTTTGGAGCAGCATTAACATCTAACCTATCGTTTATACACAACTCCTTTTAGTCGAATGAAATCATATTCTTATCTCTAAGGTGGATTAGGCCTAGTTACTATCTAGAACCCGTTGTTTATGTAGTTCCTCCCTAGCTTCTCTCGAAGACTAAAGATAAATTGCCAAGGCATTCTCTCGAACCTCATGAACCCTCCTAAGGAAAGGCTACTCTCGTAGCTCCTACAACCTCAAGACTTTAAGCATCATAAACAAAACAGAATAGAGCATGAAACAACAACCATTCATTAAAATAACAACTTAAATAACCATGCGAACACCCACCAAATAGGATTAGTTCATGGTGGGGCTCGAAATCCACAAGCACAAAGCAAGATTCATTCGTTCCTTACAACCCAACAACAAAATATAAAAGCAAGGACTAAGGGGAGGAGAGAAAGCCTTCGACGTGCACTGCCAAATGCCTTCCTCGGCCACCAAGGACTGCTCCCAGCGGACTAGCTCCTCTCGGATGCTCAGAACGCCACTCCCTTCTGCTAGTCAAGGAGAAATGCCACAGCAAGTGGGATTGACGGAGAAAGATGAGACTTTCTCTCTCTAACTTTTTAAGATCAAATGTGGCTGGAACTAAAGTCCTCTTCAATATGGCTTCCTCCTCTATTTATAGGGGAAAAGAAATCCTAAGGTTTGGTGTTAACCATCCTAGGAAACCCCAAAACTATGGTTGAGTTGCTTGGGAGTCGAGCAGACTAGGCAATGATACAGCCTAGGTAGCTGGCTAGAGACCGGCATAATCCTGCTACAGGCGCCCTAGGACCGACAGGATCTGCAGGGTCAGACTAGGCAACGTCATCAACAGAACCGGTGGTTGAAGCGCCAAAATGCTGCGGTGGGTATCTCGGGCAGAGCATGCGTAAAATCCGGGACAACTGGCTAGAAAATATCTTCTCTCTCCTTGTACGCTCCTGAAATACCATTTGAACTTGGCATTTTTATTTAGCTCAGCAATATCCTTATGTCACGGCATTTTAAATCCTCTTTTCCTTTCTTTCAACACCTGCACATCATCAGACAAGTACCTTTCCCATAAAGCAGCACCGCTGTAAAAATAAAATGCCACGGCAAACTGAAATCCACCACATGCAACTATATGCTCCTAAATGCATCTAAATGGTCCTAAATGGGCTCTTAGACATTCAATAACTTAAGTGAAAAGGTCCCAAAATATGACATTTTCAAGGAGTTTACCTCTTAAGCTACCTCAAGCAATGGATACTTAAGCTATTGCTTGTCCTCAAGCAATGGATAGTGATAAGCAAAACAAAAATACCATGACAAGTTCAGAAGCAGAATAGTTATATGGGATAAAATTTCAGCCCTCATCTCATATGGCTTCAACATGCTAGACTAGTTTGAGAAATCAAGTACCGTCCCCTAGGGCAAGATTCTTTATGTGGGTGTGTGCGTGTTTGTATCCAGTCTATGCTTAACAAACCTAAAAATTTTCTACTCAAGCTTTCTCAATTTACCATGACATTTTCAAATTACTACTCCCCTTTGTTTTCTTTGATTACTTCTGCTACGATGAGAGTCAGCCCATCACTCTACCATCCCACACTCTAGATGAAAGGGAGCATACCTTTCACCCCCGAGCTAGTCAGGTAGAGTCATCCTGTGACTACTTTCATTCACTCATATGCCAAGACATAGCGGAGTGTTCCTCTACAGATATGCCAAGGCATTTATTTATAATTTATATTTCTTTTTTTTTTCTTTTTTTTATGCGGGGTTTTCATCATTCACAGTTTTATGCCACGACATTTAAGAATTCTCTTATAAAAAATTTCTAAGTTTCTCAAGCATGGAAAACATACACTCGTTTCAAGGGTTTCAAAGAAGCAAGTCCTAGAGTTGGTTCTATCATCCTCAACCAGTCATATACATTCTATCCTAGCCATCAAGAATTCTTCATCATCGGGCATCCTCAATTAATTCCAGAAAACTAATTCTATATTTACTAATGTCATGGCATATTCATTTTACTAATACTATCATACAATGATGCGAGAACCCTACTTCTCCCAAACTTGAGAGAAGCATTATCCCCAATGCTTACTAAATCTAAGAAAAATGAAAACAACATGCTATGAATGCAATGCAATGCAATGCAAGGTACCTTGGCTTCATGGTGGTGGTGCAGCAGTTGCACGACGAGTGCGCTTGCGGAGCTTAGCGGGGCTGGAATGCTCGGAGTCAGAAGCTGGAGAAGTGCGAGGGCCTTCTTGAACAGTTGGGAGTGGGGGCTCCTGATGTTGAGATGCTTTTCGTAGGCGACGTCTGCTCCTACGCAAAGGAGCTTGCCGTGGCATCTCCGATTATGACTCCTCGGCCGACTCAGTAGGTTGTGATACTTTGGGGTTGGCTGCTTCCATCGGTACAGCAGGTGGTGGCATTGTTGGATGTTCTTTTGCGAACGGTTCAACAAATGGGGCAGGCTCCGAGAAATTAGCAAGTTAGAGATTGGCTTCTCTGTCTACATCAGGCGAAACTGCGTGGATCGGATCAGGGTCCACTGGCTCCTCTGCTTCAGCTCGCTGGGGACTGTCTTTACTCGATGAATGTTGAGCAGCAGCTGGGGCGGGTGGAGGTACTTCTGCAGATGCCTCGGCATCTCCATACGATGGGACGAGCTCATCAGGAAAAGGGGGAATGGTAAAGTTAGTGTGCGGGAAGAACTCCATCAGGGCACTGGTGAGAAAGGCATCACGTTGTTTGGCATAAGCAAAATAGACCATCAGTTTGTCGGACAGCTCCTCAACATGCTGGTGAATGCGCTGGACAGCCTGCTCTAGGTCAGTTGAAGATGCCCTGACATGTGGTGATGATGCAACGCGAGATGTGGTTGCCTCGTGTTCCTTTCCTTTGGCTTCCTTGTAGCCCAGCAACATAGGTATTTTCGCTTTGTTGAGTCCAGCAATGCCCGACAAAATCTCATCAAACATTTCTTCTCGAACTTTCTTTTTTCGGCATAAAGCAGTGATGAGATTTGGGAATACCAAGGCACTTGCCTGTCGCTTTAGGCATAGATGAGCCTATTCCACGATAATCTTCCCTATATCGATGGTTCGTCCGGTGATGATAGAGTGCAGCAAAAGCATCCGCTGGCATGATACAGTTGTATTGTGGGAGGTTGGCATAAGCTTGTACTTCATGAAATGGTTCCACAGTTTGACATGGGGGAGCAGTCGATCCCTATCCACGATCTTTCATTTCAGTTGATGACCGTTCCACTGAGTACCGGGAAGACACAAGTCTTTTAGGATGCCTTGGTAAGTTTCATGGTCGGCCTCTTGGGCAAAGCTCGCATGGTGGTCATCAGCAACCTGCAGTTTAAAATAACGGTTAATAGCGGTAGGAGTAAAACGAATAGAAATGCCGCGAACCATCACGGCATGCTGATTTGGCTCGGTAATGTTAGAATAAAACTCCACTATTATGGCGTTGACAGGGGCAGGATGTTTGGCAAACTTCTGCCACTTATGCTTAGTGACCACCTCCAGCACTTCGCTGCCCAAATCAGCGTTCTCCGCCTCGGAGAAGACAAAGCCCAACTCGAAAAAGACTCGTCGGTTCTTTATGGTTTGATAGCGTTCCTTGGCAGCCTCATCGACAAAGCGTGGTGGTGAGGGTATTGGGG